GCTCCACCCGATTTTCTAATCTCTTTTCGAGGTCGGTGCGGCGCGCTCGCTCTCGCATCCGCTTCGCTTCTGTTCGTGCCCGCTGCTCCGCTCTCGCTTTGCTTTGCCTTTGCTTGCTGGATCAGCGGTGCGAGAGGCCTACGGCTGAGCTAATGCCCGCTGGAGAGGATTTTGTAACCCCGTTTTCATAATCTGCAATCCCCCTGTTTCTCCTGGATGTTTGGGCTGCAGGACTGTCGCTGGTAGCGTTTTGCAAATGCGATCGCCGTTTTCCTTCAGTTCCTTCGTTTCAACCCAGCGCAGCGGGATTCCTGCGAATTAACCGGAAGCGAATCACCTCCTTTATTGAGTGCCATTCTCCATCTCCGAGATGCACTAGTCCGAACGATGGTCTCCCTGCTCGTTATACGGCTGTGGTTGTGTTTAATTGCACCTTGGCCATTAAAGTAGTGTTTGGAAAGATTGGAGGGTAGAGCGCCTAACAGATTTTTCCTACTGTATCCCTTTACGATTGGTTGATTATGTGCCATCAAATCGTTTTCGACTCCTAAAACACCAGTATTTAAGAACTGTATTTACAGTCTACTTTAAGGTTACTGGATCACGGGAGTGCACACGTGTCCCTTCAGAACATCACAATCCTCTAGAAGTGAGTTGATGGAATCTGAAGTCTAGGTTGACAAGACACATCTGTATCTGGATTCTGGTGAGAGTGGAAATGGAGTTTTCAAAACAAAACTGATCTGGGGAGCCTGGCAGTGGGGAAATTCCCCAGGAATGTTGAGTGCTGGCTGGCAGCTTGGACTCCAGCGAAGACAGACACACGGTCTGAAATGTCGGGTGAGTTACTTCTTTTGGTTAGGGTTTTGTTGTGATAGCTCTGAGCTGTAATATCTACAGTAAGGATGTATATATTAATAATAGTAACAATAAATAATTAAACTTGTATGCCACCTGACTCTCAGTGACTCTGGGCAGCTCGCAACAATCAAAGAAATTACAATATAATCAATAAAAGATGAAGGTAAAAATGGCAAGCATGACAGACCAGGTGGACTGAAGCAAGGTGCCTCACTCTCCCTCACCGAAGGCCTGGGTGAAGAGCCAGGTCTTCATGGCTCTTCTAAACGACAGCAGAGTGGGGACCATCCTGATCTCAGCAGGTGGGGAACCTCATTCCAGAGGGCAGGCACTGGTACAGAGAATATTATTATGGCCAAAATCATAAGCACGTGTACTAGGAAATAAGTGCTGCGATGTTCTGGGGAGTGAAGATAAATTAGACTCTTCCTGATTGTCAGTGGAACAAAATGCCTCAAAGGTTGTGAACTTCTATGAGTTTTGAGATTGAATGTCTTAAGTACTGCCTGAATTTAGGGCGTACCGCAAGAGCATGTCAAGGGCTCTTTACAAAATGACTGCCATGGATACCCCCTTTAGCTCCCAGGATGCACCCTAATGCCATCCAATTTATCTTTCTTTTTTCCCCAGACAGGTGGTCAAACTTCAAAGCCAGGGCTACAACTATCCACCATACTTTGCTAGTAAAGCTTACAAGGCCAATGTGGAGCCAAGGATCTCTGGAAGTTGATGCTTTGCTTTGTAGCACACAACCTTCCTGCTTTATTTTTTTTAACATTTCAAATAGTTTTAAAAAGGGGTGAATTCAAGGACCAAAGGATTAATCCTTCAGTGGATAACTGGAAGCTCTATACACCATGGGTAGCTACTGAATCCCACATCTTCCAAATTCATGCCACTGAAATTCAGCAGAACCTGCAAAATTATGGTTGTATATTTTTTCATTTATGTACAATAAAAAATAAAAGAAAACATGTTAGTTTCTTTATATAACAGCTGCCCTTTCACAGAAAGTGAAAACAATTCCACATAGCTACTAGCTTCACACCCAAACCATCCAGAATTAATATCCCCACCACTACCATCTCTGCAATGGTGAAGATTCCTCCTGAGTCAACCAGCTCTCCTTGCAGCAGACCAAAGAGGGGAGCTGAAATTAGCAACTTGCGCAACCTGCAAATGCCTGACTCCCATTTTAGCCACATTTGTTTCTGTGGTAAGGGGGGAAGTGTAGATTTGTGTGCAAAAGTATCCTGTTGTCTGCACAAGGACACTGTAACACTCTGGAGGCTTTGAAGGGGCTTTGGGAGGCATTCCTGTTGGTGGCTCCACCTCTAAGCCCTGCCAGCATCACAAATCAAGTACGGAAGTTTTGATCTGTGCCCTATCTGGTTTGGAAGGGAATTGGTGGATGTTATAGTGTCAGTCCATTGCATGGCACCAAAGGCCTTGTGGAAGGATATTTACAGCGTGAAAAGTTCCATTTGAAAGGAAGCATGGTGCAATGGTTAGAGCAGAGGTCCCCAAGCTCTTCAGCTTATCGACCCCTTCATGAAGTTTCAGATTATTCATTTACCCCCAAACATTTATTATATGAAAACAATTTAATACAGTTAGTCCTCAGTTAGCAACTATAATTGGGACAGGCAACTCTGTCGCTAAATGATGTGGTTGTAAAGCAAAAAATCACGTGACCACACCTACTTATGCTGGTACATAAAATAAAATGTATTTAATATATGTCTTTTTCCTTTTTACCCAATATGTCTTTAAGATTGGGTTCTCCTGGGACAACTGTAAGCAGCTGAAGACATGTCATCGCCACAAATGACTCAAGGGACTCGCTCCTTCTTTTTCCTGCTCATATGGGTTTCTTGCGTATCCGTGGCAAGCAGTGCCAAAGATGTGGTTCCAGAGTTAAGCCCTCAGGAGTATTTTAGCAGCTTGCAAGCATCTAAAGCATCGTTGGTTTATTTTCAGAAGGATGGTGAGTATTTTCACCAGGCACCTTGAGAAGTTTGATTACTAAATGAAGCAAGAGGAAGGAAAGAAAGAAAACTCATATGACTAGATGTAGGAACAAAGAGGTAGTGTGCATAAAAATATATTCTGATGATTCACTCATAATGACAGTGAGTTTAGTGTTAAAAAGACAAATACCCAAACTCCCCTCCAAACTACTACCCTGCTCATGTTTGATGTGCAGCCCTAACATCTTTGCAACCCTCTCCCCGCCCCACGCCGAGTACTCCTTGGCTGCTGCTGTGCTACTCCAGCAAAACCTGTAGGACCTACAGCCTCTTCAAAGCACCTTTTTCAGCACTGGATCCAAAGCATTACACATCCTTAGTTCTGACCTTATCAGTTAGCCCCAGTCATATAGTCTTTCCTTCTATGGCAGAAAATCAAAGGAGTCTGGTAACTCCTTTTCTGATTAACAAAATTTATTAAAAGGCATAAGCGTTCAACATGGTTGGAAAAGGTATTACTGGACTCCTGATTTTTTGCTTCCATAGATTGACACAGCTCTTCTATAATGTCTTAGAAGGCATCTTGTTCTAGCCCTCTGATTATATGATTTACTATTTTCTGCACATTTTCCAGTTCTATAAAATATTCACCTAATGGAGTTGGGGCTGTGGTTTTCCTGAACAAACTTAGTTCTCAGGTAGGCAAATTTCTGAGGCTAATGGACACATCTGAAATTCTGAGAGTATATCATATGATATGTAGGCACTCTCAAATTGGCTGCTGTGCTGGGTAAGGATGGTTCCCAAATACCCATTTACCAGACGTTTCTCCCCCATGCCTTAGTTTTTGAAAATGCTCTCACCTTTATCTGTATACAGATAGTCCCAAGTTTAAGAACAAGTTCTGTTCCCAAGGTCTGTCCTTAAGTCGAATTTGTATATAAGCCAGAACAGTATTATTGTATAATACTGTATTATAATATAATACTATAATATATAAGTATTGTGTAATGAACTTGAACCATTGTGTATTTAACTTGAACCATTGTGTCTATAACTCAATTTTGCTACAATAGGCTCCGTTCTTATCTTATGGGTCGTCCATAAACTGGGCATTCTTAACCCAGGGGCTACCTGTACTTTTGTCTCTTTTAGGGGGAGCAGGCAAGATCCCTTCCATAGAAAACACCAGCCTGCAGCCACCCACCGTTTTAATTTTTTTTTAGAATGTCTACATGGAGCCTAGAGCATTTTGAGAAATAAAGGTGATACTAGAAAATGGCACTTCTGCAGAGTGCCATCTACTCCTTTTTAAATAAAAACTTCAAAAATCTCTTTAAAAACCCTTAGTTGGCTGGGGTGAGGAGACTGGTGGGCACCATGGGGGATAACCTTAGGTGCATTGGTGTCCATAGATACCACACTGTAATCTTTGTCATTTATAACAACATAGCTTTCAGAAAGTTCCCTGTCTTAGTGTACCCCAGATTTCTCTTGCTGTACCCCTTTTTAATCTATCCTTATTGCCTGTTGTGCCTCAATTCATACAGAAGTGCCCCCTGGGTTATTCACAGCAAGGCCAGTTGTCACAGCCTTGGCTGGCTGGAGCCCTGCACATTTCATTTCATTTCATTTCATTTCATTTATTCATTTATTCATTCATTCATTCATTTATTTATTTATTTATTTTATTAGATTTGTATGCCGCCCGTCTCCCCCATTTTGGTAGGAGGCAGATCTTTTGTATTTTCACAATTTGGCCTCTTTTGGGTGGAGTATTTCTTTGTTTTACAATAAACTGTATGGTAAACGAAAGTGATACTAGTGACTGATGCTTTGCTTTGTGGTGCCCTAGCTTCCTATTTATTTATTTTATTTAAACGATCTTTTAAAAAGTGCTTACTTGCAATTTTATTGAAGCTTTTAATAAACACAGTAAAAACTAATACAAACTGAACGAGAAGAAAAAAGAAAATTAAAGAAAAGTTCAGAAGGTGCAGAAAAAAGGAAAAGAGAAGAGGAAAAGAGAAAAGAAAAATGAAAAATGAAAAGCAACAGTTACAAAGAAATGGCTTCCCACCTTCATCACACTGAGCACAAGCTAATATAATAACTTTTCACCTTCTTTTAAAATTACAAATAAAAAAAACTCTTCTCCCCATAGCCTAACGTTTATCTATACGCAGTCTAGAAATCATCATCTTTTCAGTCCTGATCTTTTCAGCAAAAAGTCCATTAGGAGTTACCAGAAATATCGGGGACTTCCAGGGAGGAAATGGTGGACTGAAGACGATTTCAGAAAGCAGAGCCGACAACTGTGGCAGAATGAAGAGCTGGCATGTAGACCGGCTCTTCGATAATTCCTCTCCAGATAAGAAGAGGACTTGAGAGATTGCCCAGAAGTGTTCCAGACAGCTGCTCCTCTTGAGGAGACTGCAAGATAGTGGTCTCCAGGGGGTTTAGAGCTGTGGGAGACAAGGTAATAGCCATCTTGCGCAAATCATGGTTGGCATCTTTGAAAGGACATTAAGTTCACATACTTCCTTTTCTAATCCCTTTTGGAAATTGTTTGTTGTTTTTCAGCTATTAGGAACCTTTGGATTGACAACTTTGATAACTCCGGGTGAATTTCCTTCAATCCTTAGCGAACAAAGTTTTAACTACAAGTTTAAAGAACTTAAA